TAGGGAACACATAGCAGCCTATCCCCCAGGGCTTCCCAGTGGGGCAGTCAGGCCTGGGTCCTCTCCTGTAAACATTAGCTGAGGACCCATGAATGAGATGCACAAGTCACTTTGCCAGTCTGTGAGCCCCTTTCCCTCCCAGACACCAGGCCTGGAACATCCAGGAGATATCCAGCCTTTATTGTCCATCCAGCTCATTGGAATCCCCTTTTTTTTTTTTTTTTTTCTTTTTTGCTTCTTTTAACTTTCAGGTAGTTCTTGTACAGGTGGGTAGAGGGTTAGCAGAGTGAAATGGAGAGGAACTTGAGCACTTACCTCTCCACCCACTGTAGCTAAGAAGATCTTCCCTGTTCTGCCCTGTTTCTTGTTCTCATATTTGATGGAAAAGGGGGATGGAAGTGAAGAGCTTGGCTTAGTGCAGTCTTTGACTAGCTTCTACATCCATTGCATTCATTTCCAAAGCTAATTCCCAGTGGCATAGTTCCTGTCAAAGTTGTGAGACTCTAGCTACCTTTTTTCCCCTGCCTTGACTCATTGCCAGTCATTTCTAATAAAGATGTTTATTAGGCTGTTAAGAGATTTGATAAAACTAGCTGGATAATTAGGTAAATGATTGAGAAATCTGAACAGCATTCCTGCTACATATGTTATTCTAAATTGCTGCAGTTTGTTTAGATTGCACAGAATACTCTCTTCCTCTCTAAGAGCCAGTCTATACATAAGAGAAAATAAGGCCACCCAGGAAAAAACCCATGCCTGTATTCTCTGTCCCTCCTGCCCACTGCGAGTATCTTCACCCCCGTGAAGTGTGTGCTAAGGCTCATGAAGCGCATGTGACCCACAGAAGACCACCAGTGAAAAGGAAGCCATTCATAGCCAGTGTCTCTTTGGAAATCAGGAAAACCTAAAGGAAGAGTGCTTTTCTGAAAGACATCCCAGCACTTGACACTTATCTGCTTTTTCTCTTTTAGTATGAGCGAAAGCCAAATGATTAGCCTACCTGTTGTTAAAGTATTCATAAGAAGAGGCTTTGAGAACTAAGACACGAGGGATACCTTACTCTGATTTTCTTTTCCTCCTTAGGTCCAGAGGGGGCAAACCTCTTTATTTACCACCTTCCACAGGAGTTTGGAGACCAGGACATTCTGCAGATGTTCATGCCTTTTGGAAATGTTATCTCTGCTAAAGTCTTCATTGACAAACAGACCAATCTGAGCAAGTGCTTTGGTATGCAAAAGAAACCAAGCTAGAATGTTGCAGTAGGTTCCCAAGTGAGGAATCATGGGAAGGAAAATGTGAATGACAAATATTTTCAGAGTCAGGATAGAGTCTTGTGTGGTGGTGGTTCGTGATTTTCTGCATGTATGTAAGCAGATTTGGACAAAGTTGTTTAATCAAAAACAGGGGAAGGGGCTATATAAAAAGGAAGGAGCTGGAAAATTAAACTAAATGCCCATACATTAGGGTAATGTTCTGTACTGTACTATTAAAGTGTCTTACTACATATATTTAATAATCTTTCATTGTAGAGCAATAGCTGTTTCTTCAAGCCTCATAGATTGAACCATGAACTTTTATCAGATGGAAATATACAGTTAACACATTGTAATTTTGGCTGTCCTGATACAGAATAGTGTTGTAGACACTTTGCCACTAATTTCTTACCCCCTCCAGGTTTAATATGACTCAGACATTTTAATATGCTGTGGGTAACACATTGTATGGGGGCTTGTATTAGTCCCTTTCTGTTACTTATTAGAACAAAATACCCGGAACTGGGTAATTTATAAAGAAAACAAAATTTATTGCTTACAGGTTTGGAGGCTGGGAAGTCCAAAGTCCCAGGAAGCACATCTGATAAGGGTCTTCTTTGGTGGTGGCTTTACAGCAATGCAGGGGTCTCACATGGCAGAAAATGGTGGAGCAGAGAGAGACTCTCACATGCTGTGCTTTTAAAGCTCTTAGAACCACACCCATGACCACCCTTATTAATCCATTCAGTAGAGCATGGTCCTACAATCTAATCACTTCTTCAAGGCCCCACCTTTCAATTATAATAGGATTTCCCACCCTCTTAACAATCACAGTGGGGATCAAGTTAGGGGATACCATCCATATCTGGGCTTATCATTCAAGCATCTTGATACACACACACACACACACTCTCTCTCTCTCTCTCTCTCTCTCTCTCTCACTCACTCACTCACTCACGCACTCACAAATATACATACATTCACCAGCGGGGATGCCATCAGGCTGCCACCAGATTGCAGCACACCTGACAGGATGGGCGGTTAATGCAGTGTCTCAGGATTGGGTAGAACACTGCATTGTGATGGGATTCAAGGGCTGGAATCTGGGATTCTAAGATTGGCAGGGACTGTGTGAATGGCTATAGAGCACAGGAGTGTGCAAGTATTATCAGAACAGTGGAAAACCCAGCTCCTCAGTGCACCAGCTCATCCTGCCAACCTTCCTCAAGTAGCCTGGACTCTGCCTTCTGTGGCTTTTTCTGCTCTGCAATAGAGTAAGGAAAGCCTACTGCATGCACTGATGTCTTATACCAGGAGGTGTTTTATTTTGCAAACCCTTTTGCCCCCCAAAGTAGTTTAGAGACCAGGCAGGATGTTCCGAGTATATGTTACTTGCTCGCAAGCACTGGCCCAGTGTGAGGTAGAACATTTGCTTTAATCGCTCCTGCAATTTACTAATGCATGGTGGGTAGTAAGTAACAGCATAAAACAAAATAAAGTAATAGATGTGGGCCAAAGGAAACACACAGAATTGTGTGTTATAAAGAAAAATATCAAAGGTAGGGTGGTTCTCAAACAGCCAAAAACTCAAACTTTCTATTTGGCTGACTGGTAATCAGTAACCAGTCCAAGGACAATGTTTTGGCTTCTAAAACTGTGTTATCATAGTGTTTTTCTAATTTCTCTGCTCTCACCCAGGAAGGTCTGCAGTCTCTGTTGTTAGGGGAATTAGTATGTCAGCCATTTAAAGTCACCGTTTTTACCCTAGTGGAAAGGTTGTCAGCCTGAACCCATTACACCATCGCTGTCGCTGTGGCGACTACATAAACCCCCTTGTAATGGTTCATGAGAGGGTGAAATGGAAATTAAATTGTTATATAGAGTATGTGTGTGTATTTGAGTGTGAGCTTACCTTCGGGAGGCTTCCCTGCCCAAGGTTTTAAGGCAGACTTTTATATTTGTCATAGCTAAACAATGTTCTAGGCTCATTTGCAGACTGGAAAGGGATTGTGCTTTGTGGTTTGACTTGAGAAAATATTTACTGCCCCGAAAGATTATATCAGCCCACAAACTACTTGACCAATGTGTTCATAATGATATAAGCTATAGCTATGTGTATCAGCAATTATTTTGCATTATGGACTGCTTTTAATTTTTACTGAAAGCCTTAGCATCCCGGGTTTTTCACCAAGCCACCTAATTTTTCAGGGCCCCGGTTTGCTGGATTGCTAGTCATGAGGTGGTACCTTGCTGTTTCACTGGTACTTCCTGGCCCTGTTTCTTTATCCTCCTCACCCTTAACCCATTTCCATTCTTTAATCATCTTGCTGTGTTTGGATAAAGACCAAGAGGGAAAGGAGAAAAGTCAGCGCAAAAATCTTGGATTTGAGACCACATTTATTGGGAATTAGATTAAATAAAAATTTAAACAACCCCTTTGCAATACAGCCTGCCTGTGAAAAGCTTTTCTGCCTTATGCCATATGCCCATGTTTATCAGCTGAGAAGAGGTGCTGCTGCAAGTGCATTTATGTCCTTTTCTTCCTCCTCTAGTTTGTAAAGGAATTTTCTCTTTAGCTTTAAATTTTAATAGTAGATAGAGATGCCTACTATAGAAACTTCTGAACAGCTGATGTTCAGGACTGAAATTAAATCTGTGTAATAGCTTCCTTTCAACATCAAAAGTAGGTAGGAGCTGTGCAAGCCCACCATTGGAATTGGCATTAACTAAAGCTGTCCTTGTACCCCTGCCCCTGCTTTACCCCCCAGGGCTAGAACAAATTATATGATCAGAATTCTCTTGTTTCTGGGTCTTTGCAGAGCATCGTAAGTTCTTTTTCAAGAGCATGCCCTCCCTTCTTTTTTCGTGGTGGTGGTTGCTACAGAGAAGGATACTGGGAATTCTGTTAAGATGATTGTTAAGCCCTAAGCTATTTAGACTGTTTATTCCCCAAAACTTTGGGAGATGAAAGGTAGCAATTTTCTTTCTGTTGAATTTATTGGAGCTCTGAAAATGGAAATACAGGTAAGACGAAAGGCCCAGCATTTCCCTAGGTTCCTCTCAGTAATAACTCCAAAATGTTAAAAATCAGGTGTAAATTATTCTAGAGCTTATTCACTAATTGACCCATCCTCTAGCCAAACAGGTGTCGGCTCGGTCTGTGAATATATATGTGGAGAACGGGAATTAAAGTCAGAGTCTTTGGCAGTATCCACTGTTACCCAGCCCCTCCCTTCATCATCCTGCCTTAAGCCTCACCCGGTTGGGACATGTGAGCCTCTGGCAGCCCTTTGAGGCCTGGAATATTTATACCACTGCTTATATGAGTAGTGCTTATTTGTGTACCTGGGGTTCTTTTGGAAGGATTCTAAGAGACTTTAAAAACGAATAGATTTGACTGAAATCAATAGATTAAATTCACTCAAACAACTGAGTTCAAGATTTTAGTTTTCTGAGGAGGGGTTTTGTTCTACATGATACCAAATTACCAGACCAACTAGCTTTGTCACTGCTTCTCAGTGGACATTTCCCATGTTGTCCCTGAGACCCTGCCCTGTGCACAGTAAATTCAGCAGGTCTGGAAGGAGACTGTGAGGCTGGCATACATTACTTAGCACTTGCACTCACACCATGCCACCCAGCCCCAAAAGCCCTGGTCCCCCTCTTCTGCACGGCTCCCTCTCCATGGTGACTCCCTCCTGCCTTCCCCTTTGTGTTTTCCAGGTTTTGTTAGCTATGACAATCCCGTCTCTGCACAAGCTGCTATCCAGGCTATGAATGGCTTTCAGATCGGCATGAAACGCTTGAAGGTGCAGCTGAAGCGCTCCAAAAACGACAGCAAACCTTACTGATCCTAACCCCAGAGGCTCCCTGCTCTTATTTTAGCTTTCTTAGGGTAAGTCCCATAAGCCAGCCTGTTCTCAACAGGAAAGGCAGAGGAGGACCACATTGCCAACTTTTACCAAGAGAGACGGTTATTTTTACAATAAGGCCTCCATTTCCCCCCCACTCCCTCCACCCAGTCTGCCATATTAAAACTTGGGCTACCTTGTTTCTATTGAGTAAATTCCACCTCCAGTTGTGCCACTGTATTTCATTTGTTTTGCGATTTGAATCTCCTTTTACCTTTTTTTTTTCATTTTTTTATTTTTGCTTTTTTAAAGAAAAACATATACACAAATAAATGACATCTTGAGAATTTAAAAGGCAAACAAACGTAATGTGCAATTCTAACTCTGAAACCACTGGTGCCCCAAGAGCACTGCCTGGAAAATTCATCCTCCTTGGCCTGCGCCCGCCCCTCCAGAGGGCAGGGGCGGCGGGGACAGTCTTTAGAAGTTAACTTGGTGGCCTAGCGAGAGGGGGAAGCCAGGAGAAGCACTTACTCAAAACAACACAAAACGTCTTTCCACTACATCAGTTGGTTTTAATAAGTAGGATTTTATTTTAGGGTTCAAAGAAACATGATAATTTATTGATCAGATTATTACATTGGTTGTCTATTTTGTTATTGTTTTATTTTAGTTTTTAGAAAGGATTAATGTAAAAAAAAAGATTTAGAGATCTGTTTCTTAAAGCTACAGGGTTTAAAAATAAAATAAAAATGAGTGAAAATACTTGATGTTTCTTGAAAGATAAATTTAATAATAATAAATAAATACATAAATAATACATAAAAAAGAAAGCCACAGGCCTGTAAATTTTATTTGTAAAAAAAGCATTTCTATTTTTATACAAAATTTTTACTGCCTCAGAAATAATGGAAGTTATTTATTGCCTATTGTTAACTTATTGGGTACCTAAAGAGCAGTTCTCTGTCTAGCTAGAACCTTCTGAAGTAGTCTCTAGAGGAATTGTTCTAGGAATGGGCTTTTTTTCACCGTTGAACCCTAGACCTAAAGTTCATGCTTTATCCTCTCGTTGTTCATATCTGTCTGATTATTTTGTTCGTAACTTCCATTATCCAGTTTACAGTTCAGTTGTCTGACTTTCCCCATATGTCACATTTGTTGAAACTGGACCCTCTCCCCTGTCCCTTGCCAGTCCCTCACCCCAATACACCTGGAATCCATCCCTTCTCACTCTCTCCAGATGGATTCTCTTGGGGTTTCATTGTGCTGTGGATAAAGAGTGTAAGAAATGCAAATTATGTGAATGGCTCGTAGACTCCCTAATGACCTAAGATTTGCATTAGTTTATCTCCTGCACCCTTAAAAGTGATTTTGTTGCTGCTGCATAGATTCTGTGTAACTTTTTACTCTTCCTTGTTTTTTCCCTAGACATCTTCATGCCCGTTAGTTCATCGTTTGCCTAGCATGTCCCTGTGGCGTCTCAAAAAAAAGTTTCATCGTCCCGTCATTGTTTCTGATGTCTTTCTGACCTCACATCACATTTGGTTCTCCTACTGACCTTTGATCTAGTTTGACCTTTGAAATTTGCATGTGACCTCATCTAGCTATGAATTCTGGGAAGTCAATGTGAAAAACATTGCTGCATTCATGCAAGACTGAAATTTATTATTAGACAAATTAATTATAGAAAAAAACCTGTGGCAAAAATGTTTCCTTCTTTTTTTTTTTCTTTTTTCTTTTCATAAAACAGACTTGAAAGTATTATACAGGGATTGGCATTCTTCCCGGTCACTGGTAACAATAGCAATATGTGTCCAGGGACACAGAATGTTGGTTTCTAACAGACTACTTCCAAAAACAGTTTGAGAAAAAAACTGTCTGATTTTAAGTCTCTAGAGGTCTGTAATAGTTTTTACATTTTTCAGGCAGTGTAAAGTTTTTTGATAAGGCCATTTTAGGTGGCTCACTTTCTCATTAAGATATATATATAGAACCACTTTTTGTAGATTAGTATAAGAAAAATATTTACCCTGTTTTGGGGCAAATGCTACCTATTTGTGTCACCTTTTGCTGAACTGACTCACAGTTAGACAATCCATGGTTTAATGCACATGAAATTACCTATATTTTATACTGTTTCAATGTACAGGAGAAAGGTTACTGTAAACTGTGTTATGTTGGTGCTTCTGTGAATTAAGTTGTGGTTTCATCATGAGTCTTATGGTCTTAATGTTCTTTGTTGATAAGACAAGTTTAGAATTGGTTTACTTAAAACAAAAAAGAATTTCAAAAAAAAAGTTGTTTGCTTAAAAAAAATTTCATGTGAGGGGAAAAAAAAAACCTATTCCAGAATAAGTTTTGTGTTGGCTTGTGAAGCATTGATGTCATTTTTTTTTTTATTGTGGACTATTTAGATGTGTTTGTGTTCAGCAAAATGTGATTTTTTTTTCTTTTAAAGAAAAAAGTGAAAATATATAGTGCCAAATTCCAAAGGTACGTCCTTCCTAGAGCTTCAGTGTGTTTCTTGTGAGAAGTAATTTGATAACATGGGTATTTTATTATGTGTTTTGTATAAATCCCTAATATTTAAAAAAACAAACAAAAAAAAGAGGTTAAAAAGTTTGTTAACTTGCTATCCTGTGGTCTTGTTGCCTGAAATTGTTATTTGTTATTTCTCTATGATGTTTTTTGTAAGACATTGTATAAGTGCCCATGTCTCACTTTTTTAACCACTCTGCACATCAATGCTGTGAAGGCAACCTCACCATGTATTTTCTTCATAATATATGGAAACCTCTAAGGTGAGAAAGTTTTGAACTTTTAACCCTTTCTACCCAGAGCTATCTGAAATGTTGGTAACTTTTTATACTGTCATCATGAGTTTGTTTGGGGGTGTTTCTAATTTAGATAATTTTTTTCTACCTATATCTTCTGAGTTTTTTCTTTCTTTGTTTTTACTATTTTTTTATCCTTTGGGTGAGATCCAAAAGAAAACACTCTACAAGGCAAATCTGAAGGGGAAAAAAATAACTCTCTCCAATTTTTTCCCTACTCCATTTTTTCTCTTTTTTTTACTTTTGATTATTTCTGGTAATTTTTTTAAAAAAAAAGAATTCCTAATGTGCTGCTGGAATTCCTTCTTCAGTTTGAATTAAAAACAATTTATTGGATAAACCGTCTGAGGGGAAAAGTAGGTAGAGTCAGCATTTAAACCTTAAAAACTCTGTAGGCTTTTGAGATCAGGTTTAGTGGTATGTTCTATCTTAGAATATTTTCATATACCTTGCAGTTAAACGACTTTGGGATGAGATAGTCTTTTGAGGGATTTTGCTTTTGTTTCTTAAATACTCCTAAATATTTCTAATCAGCCATTGTGGTGGGGATTCTCTGACCCCAGTGGATACCTCTGAATCAGCAAGGTATTTGGAGTTAGAAGCTCACAGCTTTTCCTGCCTTTTTGTTTTTTGGTTGTTATTATTGAACACATTTAAAGGGGAATGACCATATAAGTAAAGCTCAGTTCTTTATCAAAGTTACTGATCAAATACCTAGCACCAATTCCTGCTGCCACTTTTTAAAGTGCCATATGACTTTGACCTTCTGTGAACAGATATCTTGCTGTCTTGACAAACCTTAATGTCATACCTACAGCCCCAACACAAACTCCAGCCTTCCTGATAGCAGGCCCTGGAAGCTTCTTGGTCTCAGCTCCATGTCCCCTCCCCTCTCCCACCCTGTTTGGCTTAATGGGTGTGTGGATGTGATAGCCCTGGGATGGAAAGGACTAGCCTCTCATAATGCAAAAAACAAAAACAAAAGTTTCCTTCTTATAGCACATGCACTTCTAATGAAATGATTTGTATTATCCTCACACGTGTTTACTACTGCTGGGGCCTTCCTTCATCCTTTGAGGGCTATTTTGTACTTCCTGCAGCAATCAGCTTACTAACAAAAATTATCGCACATGCCTCTCTCATATATTTATTATATGGTGGTGTGTAGACACATACATAAAAACACAAGAGAACACCATTCAGATTTCTTAGAACGTTTCATTCAGAATCTCTTCATCTGTCAGTTACAAAAATCTCAAAGAAAATTTTCTGATTCCTTCACTGAAGCAAACTGCCCTCCTCCTGCCCTCTTTTCCTCTTCACCCCCCTGCATCTCCCCCAAAAGAGAAATTGAGCGCAGCAGACAGGAGGCTCAGGCTGGGCACTTTGAGTTGAATGTTTCTTATTTTGCAGACAACCAAGACAGTATATTTAGGGGGAAAGTCCTTTTTTTTTTCTTTTCCATGTTCCACTGTTAAAAAGATAACCCTCCTCCTCAGAGACAAACTGTCCTTTTATCCCTTCATTCACTTATCTTTTAATATCAAAAGGAAAAAGCTGCAGGGGAGCAGAGGGCCTGTGCCAGAAGAAAAAACACACAGGGAAACTGCTTTTTTAAATCACGTGTAGAGAATAGTCATTTTTAAACTAAATGAGAGAATTACGATAAAATGGCAGTCCTCAAAGGCGTAACAAGTTCATCTTTCTTTCACCATAGGGGTTATAGTTCTTTGGCTTGTGCTACTCTGGAATCATTTTACTGTTTCTGTTTTTATTATCTTAAGTGCTAATTAAAAGAAGAAATAAAATTTTTAAAAAACCTGTAGTTCCATTACCTTTTTGAATAATGTCATACAAAAAATGTATTTGTGTTTTTTTGTGCTGTGAGAATTGTTGTTTGTAGATTAATAATATCATTTTGTTTAGAATTACAAAATAGTTTTTAAATATTGTCTGAGAAAAGCCAAAGTTAATGCAACCTAGTGGAAACTGTAAGACCATTTGAGTATTGTTTCTGTTTTATTGATGCATTTGGATTTTGTTGTTCGATGGAATTTGAGCCAAAAAAAAAAAAAAAACAACGCAGGCTTTCCTATTTCTACAACTGATTGTACTTATGCATTTTGTACCAGTGGAACTTTTTATACTGGAGATTAAAAAAAAAAAATGGAAATTTTTGTGGCTTACTCTAGTGGGCCCCCTGACAATGACTGATTTCAAGTTTGATTTCTGGTTGATAAGAAGAAAGTTGCTTTTCTTTTGAGAATTAAAAACTTTGGCTTGCTTTCTTTTTCCCTTTGCTTATATCTAGCATTAGAATTTTGTCTTAAAATACAGCGGTAAGTTTCACTTTTTATTCTGTATTGTGCAGTTACACAATAAGGTAATTAGATTTAGAAGTACTCAGTCACTTTAAGTGGATAAATGTATTAGTTAAAACTTTAGGGGTTTGCTTTTTTGCTGTTTAGATCAATTTTCTGATTCTTCTGTCCTCATTGTGAACATAACTGTGTAGTTGAAATAGTCAAACTTATTTTTGTAATGTATGTTATTGTGTGATGCGGTTTTTTGCTTCTGTCTCCAATATTAAACCATTTTCCTAATACTTGTTTCTCTCTCTGCGTGTTGTATTGTTGGTAGTCATTATATGTTGGTGATACATCTGCACACCTCACTGTTTCACGTATGTTTTTTTTCTATATGTTGTGTAAATAGATACAGTCGATTCCACCTAAGTGAATATCTGATTTGGGGAACTGTACACCAGCCACCTTTATTTATGTACAACAAACCATTTTCATTACTGCTTCCAAGGTTTATACACTTTTTTCTATGGTTTACCTAAATAACTGCCACAGAGTTGGACTTGCCAAGATGTTTTGTGGCCTTTTGACCACATAGAGTAATTTCACCTTCTCTCCTCTCCTCTTCTGATCTACCCCTTCCCTTCTCCCTCCCTCCCTCATGAGTATACACATGATATGTGCAGTTCTTAATGTTCATTAAAAACTGCTGCTGGGGTTTCTTCTATCTGCCGGTGAGTCCAAAGACATATCATTACAGTCACTCTTCTTAGAAACTAATCACCTTTTTAAAAAAGGTGAGCTCTCCAGGGAAGAAAAAATAAACCTAGCTGGTGAATAGAGGATGTGAAAAGGGCTAAACTTAAGTCTGTGTGTTGCCATCAATCAATAGATGTGAACAGAAAAGTTATTTATTTCAGTGAGTTAACTGGATCCAGGAGTGGCTTTAACTATTAAAGATAACAGAAGAGAAAAATATTTCCAAGTGCTCAGATGGAAGCTCTACTCAGTCTGGTGGGGGTGGGGATGAGGTAAGGTTTTGCATGCTCACACCTTCGTAGTATGTTGTCCGTTTCCAAGTGACAGCTAATAATGCCACTCCCTCCTGGATGAACACAGTGTTAAGAATAAGCATTGGCCCCACTATCACCACATCCCAGTTACCAAAAAGAGAACTATTCCTTACATGCTCTCTAAAACTGAAGCCACAGGCCCTCCGCCCTTTTCCGTCCATCTCCTATGCTCAGGAATCTGATGATTGCTCTTAAAGTGCTCTTAAGAGATTCCATCGACGTTTGCTCCAGTCTTATCTCTTTTTCCAGTTTCTCAGACGCACAAGCTGTGTCCAACTCAGGCCACCCAGCACCTGGCAGCCATCCTCTGGGTGCCAATGAGGTTTTCCCCTGCAGGTGCTCAGTCTCTTCACCCTCTGGTTTCAGCAGCCCCTCTGGTCCCAAGATTGCAGTTTCTAGTTGGTTCAACAAGAGAGGGGCCTAGGGAGGTGGAAGAGAGGAGGCTCTCTCCTGTATGCTGAACACCTCACTGGTAGTGACTTCCACAGCTCCAGGCCTACACAGATGGGAGCTGACTTCCTGCCGAAGCTCCTGCTCTAGCTCATCACAGCCTGCCTCAGCCTGCCTCTGAAACCCACTGCTTACCTTCATGGGGAGAGATGGCTGAGGGTGTGATTTCTTTTTCTTTTCTTTGGGAGGGAGGAGGTTGGAAAGTATGAGGGAGGGGAGTGGGGGGAAGGAGGTGATCAAATTGTTTCCAAGGTGCAAGTGTTTATCTTTTAGACACATAAGTACACATTTCCACCATGTGACACAAGGCAAAATACTCATGCTAAGTAAAGGAAGGGAAAACAAAGCCAAATTCTCCAAAGAAGGGGATGAAAATACCAGCTCCTTTGAGCACTTAACCACTGTAAAGCTGGTCCCTGCTTAAGTTCCCACTTACAATTTTGATGATATAAAACACCGTTGCAGTGTTAGCAAGGTGTGTCTGTTTGCCATGCACGGACCACCCTGGGAAGTGACAAGCGTGTTTGTTTACCTTGCTGCTGGGAGCCACATGTCTGGCCAGCCCATAGCAGGCATGTGCGGTCTGTGGCCGGACTCTTGGCTGGCAGGCTGGGAAGCCCAGTGAAGGCAAAAGTACTGTGAATCGTTCCTGATAAGTGAATAAAACGTGACCGAGCAATCAGTTCATTCACTTATCAGGAATCGACTGTTCTGCTGATTCGCTGTTTTTGTTCTTCATCTCTGTTGTAGTTCACTATTTTTGCTGTGTTCTGTTTTCTCCTCTCATGCTTGGGCAAAATCACTGGGAATATTTTCATGTGACTATGAAACGTTTATATCGAGTGAAAATGGTATCTTAACAAAATCTATGCACTTGCTATCAGGAACACAATACTGGATGTGTCTTATATATATTGAACTATATAGTACTCGATTTCTTAAATAAAGCTTAAGAAAGGACTGTTGTGTGTAAAATTAATGTGATTATTTTTCAAAGCAGTGTTTCTAAGGGGTATTTTTGTTCTTTTAAGTCTTGAGTGATACAGGATATTTTTCATTAAAATTATATCGCTGGCTTTATGACTTAATATTCAATAAATTGACTTTGGAAACAAAATGGAGTGGGGGGAAGTTCTTCTCAGTGCATTTTAGAAAGAGACATCTGGAAAAGCATCCCCTTATTTGATCATGGCAAATCTACCCAGGCGCTGTGGGTGGCACAACAAAGCAATGCCTTCTCCTCCAAAAGACCAGTAGAAAGCGTCCAGAGTCTGCCCTAACCTAGAAAACCCACTGCTTTTCGAAATATGATCTCTTTAGGCTCAGAAGAAGGGACAAAGAAAGGCAGATCCAAGAATGCCACTGGTTACCATCTATGCTTTGCCAGAATGATGTGACACTAAAACTATACCCTGCTGGAGAACAGTGGCGGTCCCATTCAGAACTGAAAAAAGAGACAGCAAAAGAAGGGATTTGATCATTCAGGATGAGAAGGGTAAATTTTCAAAGTGATATGTGAGAGAGAGACCTCCTCTAACAGTGGCAAAGCTTAAATGGGAGCCTGCTGCTAGGCCTTTTGAAAGAATATTTTTGAAGTTTTTCCTACAGGCCGTAGTTTGAACAGAATGGCATTTTCTGTTGGGTCTTTTTGCTTTGGGGTTTTATGTTGGATTTGTTTCTCTTGCTTAATGTGTAATTCTAAGAAAAACTCCTAAACTCCTACTTTTAAAATGGCACAGGCATCCTTATCCCTTATAAAACAAATTTTAATTGTCTCTGGTAATGAGAGAAAGAGCATAGTTAATGAAGATCCACAGATAATCCAAAATTATTCTTCCATTCTCTGCTTCCTCCCACCCCAAAACGCCTAAAAAAAAAAAAACCACACAAAAACTTCTAGTGAAGGTGTGGGATCAGAGAAATACTCCAGGGACAGGAAAAGGTAGCCCAGTCAAAGGGTCTGCACAGGCTGTACTTGCGGGAGCCATGCAGTCTGGGTGGGGGAGAGGAACACTGTGAAAGCCATGGGTCTACATGGGCTGGGCTCCAGTGTTGAAGAGTTTGCTGCACGTGGAGGTGTCCTAGGAAATCCTCTCTTCAGTCAGTCACAAGGCTAGAAAGCCTCCCCTTGTCTGAAGAGATCACATCCAAGTCCATAAGAGGTAGGAGAGCACTGAGCCTCAGTAAGGGAGTACTGATTCAGGAGTCCCCCACGTCTCATAAGCCGGGAACTGTGTGCTGGGAGGCCAGCTCAGAGTGACAGGTTGAGGCAGCCTTAAGTCAGAGGCCTGTCAGGCAGGAGCTGCCTTAAGGGGAATGCTACATTCTTTTAACCTCTCTCTACTGGTCAGCAAAGTAGCCCAGCACCAACCTCTCCATACCTGCATCAGGAGGACGTTTAAAAAAAAAATACATATAGACAGAATATATATATATACACACACACACACATATGTACATACATGCAGTGTTCTGCAACTGGTCAATTACAGTTAAAGCTGCACATAAGAATCACCAATTTTAAGACATGGATGATCCTCCCATCTCGAGGCTGGCATCACAGGTACAGAGAGGGAGTGCGTAGGAGCATTCTCTGGGGAGCCAGGCTGAATGCTGATCACCCATGTAACCTCCCTGTGCCTTAATTTCCTCATTAGCAAAGTGAGGGTAGATGTAATAACTAATGCAGGGCTTGTTATGAGGACTAACTAAGCCGACAGATAAAACGATTTGATCAGGGCCTGTGACATTGTAAGCACTCAGCGCCAGTTAGCAGCAGTGGTAGCACTTCTGCCACGGTCAGCTAAACTCCCACTGCCAGCCTGGTCTATTACCTGCTCCTACCAGGTGTCCTCTCAGCCATCCCCAGAGAGCCCCCTAGCTCTCTGAGTTCCCTGGATAACTATATACAAGGTCTAGCCGGAAACCACAACTCTTACAGCAGAGATTTCTGCACTAACAAGTTCCAGAACAGTCTTCCTCTCATGAGAAATGGTCCACTAGAGGTACAGGTTAGCATACCACGCAGTTCGGCCCTGAGCCAGGAAGACCAACAATTCACTCCATTTTAGAAAGGAAACCAATTCCTCACTCTAATCCACCCCTTCCTACCTCTAAGTATTATATTTAGGCATCTCTTCCCCAAAACGAAAGCCTGGCTGTCCAGTTTGAGCCCGAGGCAGGAATGACAAAATCACCTGTAGATTTTCTTATAGCAAGCCTGTAGGTTGTAGGCCTTCCAAGGCAAAGTTATGTCTTCAGCAGCAACCAGGATCAGTGTATCTTTGACCACCTTGGGAAGAGCAGAGGTTGGGGCTCAGAAGCACCATGTAGCCAAGAGAGCTCTCTAGACCACCACCCTTCCTCACCCCACACCCATTTAACCAACAGCACTCTGCTTTTGCTTGTTTTAATTACTGGTGGTCCATGTAGAATTTTATCTGGAAAAACAATTCTGCCACCGAAAGCACAAAGATGAAAAGCCACTGCTTTAGCAGAAGGTAACAAAGAGGCTCACCTGTACCTAAGCCTTGTGACAAACATTTACTGTCTCTGAAGTCATCCCCCCTTTCCTGTTTCTTTCCTCGTCTCTCTACCCCGTTCTGTCTTCCCATAGTTCTTTGTTTGAAATACTATATAACATTTGCTATTTATTGTGTGCTGTTGACATGTCACTCATGTCTTTCTCCCAAGCTACACTGTGAACCCACTGAGGGAAATGACTGTCTCGTTCATCACTCTCTCCCCAGGGCCTTGCACAGTGTCTGCCATACAGTGGGTGTTCAAACCTGTCAGATGGAAGGATGCATGTGTGTGGCAGGTGACCTTGCTTGGGCTGGAGGAAAGCGTTCCTTATTCATGGACAACTCAGGAAATGCCTGTGGAGGGAGGTCTGGCTATGGGATGAGCTGAGGATGGTGGACACTGGAAGCCTCTTAGCGAAAGTCAGCAGGAGCCACTGTGGGCGGCTGGGATACAGGTGGGATGAGGAAGAACTTTTGAGTGTGAGCCCCAAATATGCAGGTTCTACCCTGCTGCCACAGAGCTCATCAGCTGCTGGGTCCTGAATGGAAGGACATTCCTGCAGTTAGTTCAAGCTACCTTGGGTGTACTGTCATCTCTCTCTAAAGCTATACTTGGTACCCTCTCAGGAATATTTTATATCTGGGGACTGCTCTTCAACAGAACTTTAACATCTAAGAGACCAGAAGAGCCAAACAACTGAGTACAAATCAATACAAAGCCATGAGTAAAGGTGCCTGACTGAGGCGTTCCTGAGCAGCAGGTCAGCTCCCTTTCCCCATCTCCCACTGCAGCAACTCTTGGACAGGGCAAGGCAGCACAGGGAGCAGGACGGGCCCAGCCCAGCAGGAGCAGTACAGTACAGCTGCACCAGGTGAACAGCCCTGACAAGGTCCGTGCTGCTGCTGGGATGCCGTTTAGCTCCACGCATCCAGGAAATATGCTTGAATCCTAGTAATATGTCCCAACTTGTCAACAGCTGTCACAGAGATAGTGCATAATCCACAAATCATCCACTTGTTCAAAAGACACGCACTAAACAGCTACCCCATAATAGGCACTCTGGTAGGAGCTGGGAGTGCAAAGACAATTAATATCTCATCCCTGCCTGTGGAAGTTTTGCCATGATTAGCCTCTCTGCCAAGTAAGGAGAAACCCTTCAAATAGGTGAGAGAGCAGATGGTCCAGACCAACACTCTCCTGACAATGGACACCACATCACCATGGCGCCCACATGGGGCCATGTGCTGAAGATCCACAAAGAGATGACAGCTCTTTCAAGCCCTTGGCTGAACTCACTGCTGCCCAGACTCAGTGTCTCCCTGCTTATAGCTGGAAGGTCTGTCAAGGGGGAGAATGAAACACAATGGGTAACGGGGGCAGAAGAGCTGTCCCTGAAGTCTTCTACATGGCAATGTCTCTACCAAGGGCAGAGTTGACCAAAGTGGCCTTATGGGCTCCAGAGTCATTTCCCAACTGTCCAACTATGGTACATTCTTACTAGTCTACAAAATGTGATGTGCCTCATGAAGGAGTACAATGGAGTTGGGGCAGGTGGGTAAGGGGAGACAGGGCCTCTGTGGCAGTGAAGGATGGGAGTGGTGGCATGAGAATGCCTGCTAAGCTAACACTGCCATCGGTGTCCACCTGGAGCGCCAGGGCCCCAGGCCCACAAGCTCACCCTGTACCCAGGTCCCACCTCTGCCCATCTTCCCATCCCACTGTGACTGTGTCCACCCTGCAGTACCCCACTCTGTTTCTCCTGCAATGCTAGATACACCCCTGTTCCTAGTATCAACTTCTGCCAAGCAGCAATAAAATGTGGGGGGGTTGGAGGGGGCTCAACTGCCTGCTTTCACTGGCATTCAACCATCCGCAGAGCAAGCCTCAAAGAAAGGGAGATTCCCCACTCAACTTCAGTGTCCCTGGGGTGAAAACGTGAGAAAGGCAGCCCCCTCTGGCTGACAAGAGCAAACCAGAAAGGAAATACTGGTGACTCTCTCATTAAAGAATATGATAACTGTAAATACATATCATTCACTTATGTTACTACAACTGCCCAGTTTTAAATTTGGGTAATTTATTAACGTACAGTGTGGTATGAATTTAGAAACACTGATCTAAAATAATATTTTCCAAATTATATTCCACAGACATTAACCTGCAAGTTAATCTATGGAAGAAAAAAAAAAACAGGTTTGGTAGCCAAGGAGGTGTGAGCAATGCTGTTAACTGTATCCTCCTCTCGGAAATTCACAGTGTGCAATAACCTATGAAAAGCTCTGAGAAGTTTTTTCCCCCCCAGCAAAGATCCACCTACTTAACTCTGTTTAACCCAGTGTTATTAAGTTGTGTATTCCTTCTCGAAACTTTGTAGCATCTGACACCTGTTAACCTCATAGGAATACCTATTAACCTGAGGGGCAAAACAATGTGGT